AAGGCCGAGGACAATGCTTTTGCACGAATCTTGTAGCAAAATGTACCGTTCGAGAATCAACTACAGTGCAGACAATAAACACGTGACATATTCTTAGTGATATATTTTGAATTTATTATTATTGATATTCCAAGATACAAGACTATGCAATGGGGGAGGGTTGAGATATGTTTGGGTTATTGATCATCTCAATGATTGTGATTCGCGTGGAAGTGGGGAGGGGGGCAATGCTTAGTGGTGAATATACTGGGTCGTATCTTTTACAAGCAATAAAAGGAGTGTAATCATACCATATACTGATATGATATGTAAATTTGGTTCTTTGGCGATGGTTTTGTTTCCTCAAAAACAAGGTGGCATTTAGATAAAGGCAAGCTTAGCACGACCACCACTAGGTCTTGACGGTCCCTTAGACTTGCATGATTTCTAAAAGACAAAATTAGAAGGAGAAAACAACTAATTGGAATGTTATGTGCTCTTGAATCTTATAGAGGTGCGGGCTCTAGGTCAGGGGAAACCCTTGACCGGCGACGTCGGTCACGATGTTGGCGACACTCTCGGCGCAGTTTCTTCCTCTGGTGGCCGACATCGAGACCTTCTCCCGCCCCCTGGTCTAGGGAGAAAGCCTAAAATCACCTGATTGGGCGGCAACGACGCTTTGACATCACTTACTTCTTGAAGGCGCCACCTTGGGTGTCCACGGTGGTCAGGGCTCGGCGCGGTGGTGCTCCGCCGATTATTCTGTGTGTTCCTACTCGACAGTGGTGGTGGGCTTCTTGGTCTTGGCTGGAAACAGTGGTGATGTATGTGTTCCTGTGAGAGGTGAGGTGGCCAAGGCTGTCGTCCTCTCCCCTACAACATGTTGGCCAGTCCATCCGTGCTCAGCGGTGAGCGGTTCTGCCTCCTAACGGGACGGCGTCCTTCGATCTAGGACGAGAGGGCAGGGGCCTCTTCAGAGGTAGTGGCGGAAGGTGGGTCAAAAGGTTTGGGCCCTTGGGAATTGATGAAGCGTGGCTTTCCACCGGTGGCGAATAGCTCCATTGTCACGGGCGCGTCGGTAGCATGATTTGAGGCGGAATTGCTATCAGCCACCGTAGCCTGATTAGCCCCTTGTTGGCCTTCAACCGCTGTCATCCTCGTCGCGAGAGTGGGAACCCCATGCGCCATCTTGTACTCCTTGATGTACGGCCGCCCGAGTCGACAATACTTGGGAGAGTCTTTTCCTCTACAACCGGCTCGTACACCACCAATTGCACCAATTCAACCACGAGTAGGGGATTTTACCTCTGCTGTGAGGAAACAACAGAAACCGTCTCGTGTTGTCAAATTCGTAGCCAAACAAGCTCCGACGCCAACCAAAATCCTCCACCCGCGCTGCTTGATGAAAGAGGAAGCAACAGTCGCATCGTCGCCGCGATCAGCAAGAGAACACAGGGATTTTACACGAGAACCCAATCTGAATCTCACCACTGATCGAAATTGCCACCAAACTCGAAACACAATTTCTGGCTTTCTTTGGGATTTTCGGAGTGCATAGGATAAGATTCGAGGATCGAGAGGCTCTGGATTCCAATTATAACGAAAACCTAACCTAATGGCAGTTCACCAAATAGGAATTGGGGATCAATTACGCTCATATCGGTGAGATTCCAGGTACAATATCTAAGAAGAGGTAGGAGGAGAGGAAGAACACATGTAAAGGGAATTTCAGTTCATCTTCGATGCCCTCTCTACCTAACACACTCACGCTTACATGGCCAACTTTTCTTTTTTGAGGAAAGCTTACATAGCCAACTAGTGGTCACAATCTTTCCACTTGGCCCTTGTGCTCACTCGTCTTGTTGGGCCGCAATTGCCTCCATGGACTTGGTCGCCTCCGTGGAACAAGGTGGTGTGCGAACGTGGGTTAATGGCTCACCAATATGATGGAAATATGCCCTAGAGGCAATAATAAAATGGTTATTATTATATGTCCTAAATCATGATCAAGGTTGTTAGAATCACGATTCTGTTGTACGATTCTACGACTTTACCATCCAAACTAACACCTCTGATTCTACGATTCTGTTCATAGAATCTACATTTTACGATCCTGATAGTGAAGATTTTACGATTTGTGATCCTGCCATTGGAGCTCCGATCCGATTCAGAATCGCGATTCTGACAACCTTGATCATGATAAAGGTTTATTATTCAGGCTAGAATTGTATTGATCGGAAACTTAAATACATGTGTGAATACATAAACAAATACATGTGTCCCTACTAAGCCTCTACTAGACTAGCTCGTTGATCAAAGATGGTTAAGGTTTCCTAACCATGTACATGTGTTGTCATTTGATAATGGGATCGCATCATTAGGAGAATGATGTGATAGACAAGATGAAGGAAATATGCC